TCCTCGTCAGCTTTAAACAGATTGTGTTCGACGTGTTTTATAAATTCATGTGTAATTCTTTCTTTGTTGGATAATTTATTGGGTAAATTAAATTGTTGACCTAATTGTAATACAATTTTAGTTTTATTTGAAATATCAACATTATTAAGATTTATGAGCCATTTTTCGTTGATATTTGAAATGTCAAAATTTGTGTTAAAGCTGTTAGGATCAATCTTAATATTGTAAATTGAATGTGTTTTATTTGATATCATATTTTTATTAAATACTTTTTTTGAAATCAAACTTTGGCGATGAAAACGGTATTAATTTTCTAGACGTCAAATTAATGATTCAAGAAGGAAGTGTCATCTTCGATATGTATAAAAAACCTAACAATTCGGGGAGATATTTAAATTATTTTTCGAATCATCCATTAACACATAAAAGAGGAGTAATCATTGGGCAGCTTGATAGAATTTTACTGTTGTCCCATCCCAAATTTCATGAAAAAAACATTTCGGAATTAATTCACACTCTTCTAAATAATGGCTATCCTTTTAAATTCGTATTTTCAACAATCAACAATAGAATGAAAACTTTGGAAAATAGAACTAATCCAGATCAAAATTGCGAAGAAAGCAATAATGAATATGATTCCAATAAGAAAAAATTTTTCACGATACCATACTTGAGCAAGATTTCTGAAAAATTCAAAAAACTTGCATATATTCATGGTTTTGATATAGCTTATAAACCTATAAATAAATTGAATACAATTATAAAAACAGGAAAAGATCCCTTGCTTAAGGATGACCATTGCGGAGTGGTTTATATTAGGTGTTGGAATTAATTCGTAGCGTTTTTAAATGAAAGAATGTTATTTATTTCACATGAGCATTAAAAAATACATTAATGAAAATACTTCCCATCACTTGTAAAACGCTACGAATTAATTCCAACACCTAATATAAACCACTCCGCAATGGTCATCCTTAAGCAAGGGATCTTTTCCTGTTTTTATAATTGTACCCTGCAGGGGGTGGGATCATCTCTGATGCGATCCGACATCCCCGGATGCATCTTGATATGATTCCACTACGGATTTAGCGAACCCGCGGTACTTGAGCTCTCGTAATATCTTTTCTTGCACCACTGGGAGAGACCGAGCGTCCAAGATTGCACCCAACTTCTCGGACGACGAGGTGGGCCCTCTATAAAAGGTCCCCCTGTCCCGTGGTAGTGGTGCGCGGCCACGGGATGAATGGGTGGTGGGTGAACTACCCAACAGCGGCCAAGTTAGGGGAATTGGAATCTATCTCAGCAAGTGAGGGACGACTTTAAATCTGCGCCTTTTGCATTGGAAGTGTCGTCGGTCCGGTGGTCTCTTCGCGCCCGACGCGGTGTGTTGTGCATGGACTATAACGGGATTGTTGACACTCCTCCATCGATGTGTGGGTGAACTTCCCTCCTGTGGGAAGTTTTGCTGTTTTTTCTTCCCTACATCGATGTGGCAGTTATCATCTTGACGCTGAAGAAGATGGAAGACAAACCGGGGAGTTGGTCGGCGTGCTCTTCGGCCGTATTGTTACGCCGGCAACATATACAACATGACATGGACACTGATAACGAGAATAACCGCCTGGGATTCGGAACTCAGGACCGGCTGACCGGGGTGTTGTCCCTGCCCCCGGCATGTCGTCATCGTGCGATGGGCTGACTGCAGGGTTGCCGACGGGCCCTGCAGTTGAACCTGTTACCGTCCGGATGGAAGAAGAGGAAGGAGTTTTGGGTGCGGAGGAACCCGCACCTTCTGGGTCGACTGAGCGGAAGGAGCCTGAGGTTGCCTTGCCATCTCCACTATCGCAGAGGAGGAAAGAATTATGGTTGTTCCTGGACCGTAGAGAGGCTGACGCGGTTGCGGTTGCGGCTGCGGGTGCTTTGACCGAGGACTCGGGGGCTTCCGAATCTGCCTCTGTGGGAAGAGTGTTGCGATCCAAGAGGAGACCGAGGATAGTGGATGTCAAAAAGTATCCAAAAGAGATGAGAATTAGAGTGATGGCGGGCGAGATTGTTAACTCCCCCGTTGCTGATAGCGGGTCGGCTGGCACGTCGGCTCCCGGCGGCTTTGGCCCGGTCAAAGATGCAGGCACGGTGGACCTCACTTTGCATGCAGCGACGAGGGGATAATAGTGGATCGTGCGGGCTCGCAGAGTGGTGACGTCTCTTTGGCGCCTACTCCGGTGGAGGATAATGGGGAATTCACGTCTTCCTTCAAGCAGGTTCCGTATAAAGAAGAGGGGACGAAAACCAAAAGGCAATAATGCTTCTCGCCCTCGCGCCATGACGAAAATATCTTCGAAACGGTTGGAGCTTGAAGACGACGAGTGGGATAGGCAGGATTTTTTCAAGATTCCTAAGAGGGAGGCACAAGACCTGAAGAAGAGGAAAGGTCTGGTAGATTGCAGCCTGGATGACAGACTTTCATCCGGTCAGAAGACTGCTATTGAGGAGGTGGACTCTTTCCTCAGATGTCGCCGCAGTCTTCGCCCCACGGGGCGAGAACGACGGCGACCTCGCTCCACGGGGCGAGAACGACGGCGACCTCCTTCCCCCATAGATGAGAGGAGTGAAGAGGAGGACGGTGGGGTGGTGTGCGGGAGTGTCGGGGTCAGTGAACCCTCTACCTCCGCCGCCACCATCATCAGTGACGGCCCTGCGTCTCGGACGCGGAGCGCAGTGAAGCGGCGGCGGATCGCCGATCCTAGGGTCGATCCGCCGCCGGAAACAGAATGACCCTCCGCGTGGGCGGGGGGCCCTGGCTCCTCACACTCCG